GCATAGGTAAGCATTTTTATCCTATCCTCAATATTTTAACAAGCTGCTCGTTTTGTCATAACTGTCATTCATGATCTGATTTGCGAAAATTTCCATAAACTATTTACATGTGGAAAATATTTCTGGAGTTGGAAATTTCCCATACGCATGGAGAACCTCTTCACCCCTCAGCACTTTGCAATGGAACAACAAATATCACGGTGGCGTATGGGCTAATTGTAGGCTCGGTAGTAGTGAAAGTGTATGTTCCCTCTCCCAGAGGTCCTCCAGGGGTAAGATTGTCTTGTCAGATAGTGAAACGAGGTACATCCGGTTATATTTGTTGCGTATGGGCTTCGGTACAGCGAAGTGTCCCAAATTCCAACCCCAGCCCTGAAGTTGATGAGTCAATATCAACAAATACTACCGAGTAGGCATACCTCTCCAATATCCATTTCCTTAACCATTTTCAACACCAGTGAGTGGACGTGCACGCTAGAATAGGTCTTACTTCCTTCCACATCAATAGAAGCAGTGGCTTTTGGAGTTCCGTTTTTGTCATCCTCTGTCGCTGTCTCAGGTATCATTTCCTTGATTTGTTCTCGCAGGGCGTTAGCCGCCTTGGAAAGTTGGTAGTTCATTACGCTGGGCATTCGCGTAGAGAGGTCGATGGAGCTGAAAAAGTAATACAGATCTTAGCAATCTATTGTTTATCATGGGAGATTTTGAATACCTGTCTTCAGACTTGACTGATTGTGAGGGTAAAGATTCATGGCGGTGATGCGAGGGGTTGTGGAGGGGCAATCTCTTGAGGCCGAGGACCTCAGTTAGTCATGGCCCATCACGTGACCAAACTTGGCACCAACTCAAGAGATTACTGATCTTTTCAATGAAAGCACGTGCCCCACTGCGTGGATCTTGGCAAATATCCGCTTTCCGCCACGAAACAATTAGAAGTCATGGGATTGAAATCAAATCGAGGACAATTATTCGAAAATACGCCCCAACAAAACAAGCAACAGAGCTGCAGACATTGACTTACTGTTCAGCGGAATATCCTTTAAATTCTGGCTTTGAGATGTCAAGATTCCTTGAAATTCCTTCTCTTTCTGGTCAAGTTGCGATGAATACTGTATCCTAGTATATAATCTACAACGCATTTAGCCAGGAATCGAGAAATTGTCATTAGGTGCTTTGATTAGAAGTTGACCCGCATTGCGCTAACTCTTGAACTGCCGCTGAAGAGGTAACGAAAAAGCCTCGTTAGTACACGAGCTGCTTCGAGCCAATCACTCTTGAAGCAGAGATTAAAACCTCGAGTGAAGTCGATATTGAACGCTCCAATATCTGAAAGACCTTGCGAATGAGCTCTGGAAACAGGGTCAAGTGTGAATATTCCGCGGGCAACATGGATACAGGAGCCGTAAAATCCAATCACAAAAACCTCTTGCTCTCGTAACACGTTGCAGTTTTTCCAGACACCTAGATTGCTCGCAAGCTGTCCCAGCATTATACTGAATGTTTCCCCTAGAAGTTCACTCCATGTCTGTCCTATAAACCACTATACTCGAAGTGAGTGGCGACTCTAGGTGAAAAGGGGGATTGAACGTACACCAGTATAGGAAACTATCGGAAGGTTTTTCTCTCGGGAACCGATAGCAATCTGGCCCTCTGATCTAGCCTGGTATTGCGTACCACCAATGATATACTTCATTTTCGGGGCGGCTATTGGAAATCTTCCAAAATTGTCAGTAAAATATAAAGATAATAGGAACTTAAGAAAATTTAGACTCACAGAATTTCAGGGTCCGCTTTTTTTATGTCCTCCAGACTTTTGTACACAATCTGCATAAGCAACTTTAGAAGTATACCTTGTGATTTAATAAACTGCAAGCAGCTCTTTCTCCCCTCCAATTCCCAATTTCTCAAAGGTACTGTAACAGTCTCCCTCGCTCTCCATGCGCTTTCAACTCCAGAGTCATTGCAAGGGGAAGAACGAGCTCTCGATAAAGCACAATGGGACAGAAGACTGTCGAAGAAAATAGATAAGGTAAAGTCTTCATCAGGCCAGGACTCTATGTCATCTTCTACAACAGCTTCTTTATGTTGAAATACCCAAGGTATCAATCGCTCTATATCCATATCTGTATATACATGTTAGTATGAGGTTGCACCAACGGAGTAAATAAGAAGCAAATTCACAATGCTTATACCTTCGCGTTTGATACTCACCACTCTGGGTATCAACTCATCCAAAGAAACGATGTTGGAAGTAATGGTTACCGATATATTAAGTTTGAATGTTATTGACTTGTTGGTCGAACAAGAATCTGTGCTTCAGATTGAAGTAAACCGTCGTTACAGGAACGTTAGGCAGGCCCCGAGAATGTGAAATAGGCCTTTACTAAGAAAGACAGAGTAAAGTGCAGATGTT